CAAGTGTGTGTGTGTGTGTATGTGTTTTTTGCTTGGCTTCCTGTGCCCTCAGTCCCCTTAGGGAATCTATAGTCTTGATTAAAAAAAATTCAAGAAAAAAGAAGCGCGCCCCAGGCATGATTTTTTCCTTTTCTGTGTGAGCTGTCTGGCTTTCCAAGGAAAGTCTAAATTTTCGCTCCAAATTCCCGAAGTTTGATGATTTCTAGGAAAACTTGCATGTATTTTGCTTGCCCGGCGTGCTGTGCCCTCAATCCTGAGGGAATCTCGAAATCTTGAGAAACCCTTAGAGAATTTCCGAACTTCAAACAAATAGATGACTCTCTCGAAAATCTAGAACATCGTTGGAAAACCACGCAGCGCCTGAGAGACAAAACACGCTCAAGGCGATTTGCTTTTTGCTCACCCCCCCCCCCCTTCACTTACTCACTTGCTTCAGAACCAAAAAAACAGAGGAAACAAAAAAAACGCAACTATAGAATACGCAGAGCAAAAGCACATTCCCTTATTTGACCACGGTGAAGAGAAGCACTGCATAAAGCAGAAATGTGCTAGCAAACTGAATGAAATCCACTGCATTAGCCTGATTGCATGCGCTTGCCAAAATGAAAACTGTGGCCTCAGGTTCGTGCTTGCAGGCGCTGCAGCAGCAGTTGCCTGCAAATTTATTACGCACTGACAGCATCACTGCCATGCCACGTCAATGAGAGCCAAGAAGCTGCATAAGTCCTTCGCTTTGGACTGGGGCTTGGAGATGCGATTGCTTTTCCTCCAAGGGGTCGACGAGTATGCAGATGCTACTAGCGCCGGCTTTCCCACAAGTGACATCCCTGTGCAGCATTGTCAGCTCCTTCCAAGTACTCGGCAAACGCACGGATACCTGGTCCAGCCTCAAAGGTTGCAAATGTACGGAAACCGTCCCCCAACTTCAGTTCTGATTTGGCCTCGTCTCCTTTCGATGCAGTCTGTTGTACCCAGAGACAATACCTGAAAAATCTCTGTCAGTCAGACATATTCCAAACAGTTGTGCGCCAGCAAGGCATGCAGCGCTCGCAATAGTCCCGCACGCAGGCTGCGTCGATAGAAGCTCGGCATACGTCAACTCTTTGTGCCTGCCGCGAAGTTGAGATCTACCGTCTAAACATATATCGCAGAAAATGAAGAGGATGTTAGTGCAGTAGGCTTCCCCAGTTCTCTGTAGCATTCACCACGCGGAGCCGGAGGCTGGCACCAAAGGATGAAAGATGATGAAAGCAGGTCTCTTTCTCTAAAAGCATGAAGGAGATGCTTCCGTCCGCATTGCTTTGGAGGGCTATGTTCATGCAGCATCGCGGCGGATTCAAAAACCTTTACAGCAAAAGCCGGACTCACATGGGCCGCTGGATTTGGGCGGGTGTGTGGGCCTACCGCGCCCATCCTTGCAAATCAGCTAGTTCGAAAAAGCGGAGCTTCTGCAGAACATCTTTGAACAAGATGGGCTAACGTTTTGAAGCGCAGCCAGCGCCCACGAGACCGCACT